TGTATTGCATGTATGGTGAGTGTTATGTCTTGTATGTTTACTTCCATACCATATTGCATTGCATAAAAGTATATGTAGAAATTCACAGGATACTAGAATTTCACCATTGGGTCGTACAGTCGTGCTGCACTAACTGTGCAGTTCCACCCCAGTTTTTAGGGAGAACATCTTGGAAGCTGGTCCAAAGGTCTTCCAAACCTCTTCCCTTACCACCAACCTTTAGAGAGGACTTACAGTTTACTGTGTATTTTGAGTGCCCCTTTGCTGCAGAGATATTATTACACATACGAACATCCATGCCAGGATTCAGGCCAGTTGGTATAATGGTCATCATCAGTAACAATTCTACTGGCTTCTACTACATATAGGAACTGCAGCTTAGAATTCATCCTGCATGTGTTCAGCTTGCATACTGATTCCAGCAGCAGAATGGAGTAGGCTCAGAATTTCTGGCACACGTGTTGTTTATAGATGAAGCTACTTTTATGCATGAAGTGTTTTCAGTGCCCACAGTGTGCATGTTTGAGTCAACTGTAATCTGCGTACAATACTACTACACATACAACACTTCTACATTTCTAACCAATGATACTTCACAGTGAATATATGGACAAGTATCTTTAATGGTTACTTCACTAATACATACTTGTTATCATTACATCTAGATAGGGATGAGTTATTTCTCCCACCGGTGTTGCTGGAACTGTTGCAGTATGTATCACAATTTGGAAAAATTTGGTTCCGGCATGATGGTGTGTGAGCACATTTCATCACAATAGAGCAGTCTTACCTGCATGTCATATTTCATGTAAGTGGACTGGCTGAAGGGAATCTCTCATTCTGCTCTCGTATTCATTGAATTTGTCTGCTCTAAATTTCATTTTATGAAGATGTGAAATCCCTCATGTATGAGACTCTGATTGAGTCCAATGGAAATCTTGTTGCCAAGCTTTCAGCAAGTCCCTGATATGCCCAGTATTTTCTAGACCACACAGGAATGCTTATGTTGGTGATGTGCGGCCTGCATAAAAAGTGACAGTCATAATTTTGAGCAACTTTTACAAGTGTACTTTAGTAGTTACTGGTGCTTGTACATGTAATTTTATTTGCACTTTTTCACAATTTTGAGCAATTTTTGTAAGTGCACTTCAGTAGTTACTGCTGCTTATACATGTAATTATATTTGTGCTTTTTGTTTGTGATATTTTTTGTAATTTATGCAATTTCGATTATATTAATTCATCCTCTTCGATAGTTATCAATCTTCATTTATTTTCTTTATAGCTTTGTTTTAGTATTTTGTTCCTTTTCTGTTTTTCTCTTGCTTCGAATTGTGAATGTATGCGAAAATAGAATATCCCGTCTAGCACGTGACTATTTGTCACCAAACTTTGTATAGTGAAGTGTAGTTGTATCATCATGTTCTTTCACCCTTTATTATTTGTTGCCATAGTTTAGAAGCAGCTTGTATAAACTAAGCCAGTTTTTGCAAAATGTTTCGATTGCCTGCAAGTAATATATAATAGCAGAAAAGAACTATCAGTTAAGTAGCCAAACGTGCTAAGACTTGCTATATTTCAAGCCTTTCACAATTAAAAGAGCAAAGCAAATTTTAATTTTTGTTCAGCAAGCATTGAAACTGTTAATAGTATGGATGCAAATCATAAAATACTAATAGTTGATAATAATCTTGTCTTGTATTCTTTCTCTACCGTATCTCTTGTGACTCAGTGCATCATTGTTGCTGTCATCATCTTAAAGCTTTCAGCCTCCTTGCTTTTTCTGTTTGTTTTTCAGTTATGGTAGTTGAAACTAATTGCATTATGTTATTTATGTGAACTGTTTATTACATCATTATTCATTTTAATTTTAAAAGTAGTTTTATGTTTTTAACAGGTTTTTTTGAAAATATAAAAATTTCAAACGTAACCCTATATGTGTAAATGCTTTTCTGCTTTATGTAGTTTTGGCTTATGGAAAGTTTTACAAGAATACTGTTCTTTTCATGAAGCAGAAGAAAGCTACATTGGAAATATATTAATTGAACTATTAATCCCAGTTATTTTTGACTCGAATGATCAAAGAGTTTGTGTACGTAGGAGTTTTGGCCAATGCTATTCATCTCGTATCGTTGTCGTGCAAGATAATGCTTGTATACACATCTCTAGTAAATCTCTATATAATATCATAATCATGCTAAAATCTACTTAATTTTTAGACTTTTTTTAATTGAATACATATGACACATATCAAAACACTGTTTATACCTGTCTTGCAAGTGTGCATGAATTTGCTGAATACTTAGGCTGTTTGGTCATAAATTTTGCAAAACAGCAGTGATACTGAATTTATCAGAGAAAGTATCCTCATTCGTTGTTGTGATAAACAACTGTATATGTCACTAATTTGTAATGGTTCTTTTTTGTTTTTGTTTGCTTAACAAATGGATTAGTCCATCAACCACCAAAACTACAAGGAATGATTTTTTTCTTATACAGATAATAATCAACAAGTATTAAATTAGGTATTTATAACATAAATTTACATTGAAAATAAAAAAAAAGAATGCTCTTGCATGTGGAAAAATTGAGTGGTGTATTCGCACAACGTCAGCAGAATAAGAATATGGATTGGTGAGTATGATAGTATTCGTGCGAAAGTTTCTTTGAGTAGAACACTGTATTACATTTGAGCAGTATACCATTTTATAAATCTGCAAACCACTCTGCTTGTAATTAATTTAATGTTAAAATTTACATTGTATTTCTTTTACAAATAAAGATTATTTTCAACTGAAAGACTCAGGCATGAAAAGCTTCGCCACAATCAGAGTTACATTACATACTCTGCATTTATAAACAGTCTGGCCATGATGTTCTTTACAACAAAGTCTTCTGCTATCCTGAGACTTAACGATAAAATGCCTACCATCTCTATGCAATGGCTTTTGAATGATGAATTTACTAGATCTTCCTGTTTCTGATCTATATCTGGCTAATTCTACCCTCTTGATAGGAATTTGCAAAAGGAATAATGCAATCTCATGTCTGAAATTTTAAAGAAACTTTTTATTTCCAGTATTAGAAAGTCATGATATTTTCCATGCATTTGCCAAGGCTACATCAATGTAATTAGTAAATATTAGCCGCCACCATTTTTTGCCATGAATTCTTATTTTGTTATTGGTTACTAAATTATTGCATAAATAAACTCCTTCCATTTTGGCATTGTATTGTTCAATAAGATGAGGCTGAGATATAAAACCTTTTTTTTCTTTCTGTTCTTGAATAATGGGAAACACTTTTTACATGCTGAATTTTTCCAAATGGTGAACTAACAGTTACAGCTGAATCATCGTTCCATCAGACGAAAATTATTTTATTTTTCTGTTCATAATGGAAATAGTAATAACCCCTGTCTTTCTTATGGACACATTTGTATGCAGTTTTCTTGGATTCTTCCTGTAGCTCTAAAACATTTACTTTTGGATGACAGAGAATATAAAATCATAAGTGACGATTCCTTTTTGTCCATTTCAAGTTTTCCATTTTTTAAACTGTTTTGTATGCGTAGCACTATTTTTAAAATGCTGAAATGTGCTTTTTAAAATGCTTTTGCAAACTTCAATATCTCTAGCAGTATCATTTGGTAAAATATTATCATTATGCAAAACATTATTATTACCTTCTTCACCACTAGCTTATGTTATTTCTGGTGAAATAACAAAATTATCAGTTTTATTTTAGTCATTATCATCATCTGTTTCTTCATCAAAAAGTCTTTAAAGTACTTCTTCTAATGTAAGATATCTCATTCTAGGCATTTTTAAAGCATGGAATGAATATCAATCAGAGCATCTAAAGGCATGAGTAAAAAAGGGAAATAATCTTTTCCCACTGACGTTGCACTAATGCAATACCTGATTTCCTTTCCATCCCCACACAAATACAAACAGCTGATTGTTAAAGTGTTCTGATAAGTGGTGACTTCGGCTAAAAATAGATCACCTCCTAAAGTCCGCATTCTTTCCTTAAATTTTTTCAGCAAAAATATTTAGTGAAAAATTTTGTTTTAATTTTGCTTCGAGTATGAGACTAATTATTATAAACAAAGTTATTGTTGAAGACAAATATTTTTTTACAGAAGTAATCTTTATAATACTACTTACCCAAAATTATTTGCTAGTATAAAATATCTTTGGTAGTTATATTTTTATACTCATTTATTTTGACCGCTGTGTCAGTGCAACACCAGTGGTTAATGAATTAATTGCTGTCCAATTTTTACTTATTTCCCCCATCCTTTTATTACTCATAGTAAGTATCAAACAGTTTTTCTGGTTGTACATATTTAATGACCTTTATTATGTAATTTTATTTAGTTTTGAACTTGTGTGCTTGTATTTTAGTACTGTGTGTTTTGTTTTTACCTGTGTGCTACATCTGCATTCCATTAGCTAAACTTTCTATTTTTTTTTATTGTTGCTTATAATTTTATTATTTAGTCATCATTTTATCACTTCATTTGATTTTATAAGTCTGCTGTTATTTTATACTTGTGTTTGGCATTAATTTGTGCTATTACATATGTTGTTTTTGATGTATCTACCATGTGTTTGCGGAAATAACCTTTCAGGTTAAGCATTGAGAAATTCCATTACTACTACAATATAGATTTGTTTTCTGTACATTTTTTTAAAGTGTAAAGTGTGTACATTTTTTTAAACAAAAGAAAAGTGTGAAGATAACAAAAACACAAGTGCTTCTATAAAAATTATTTTGCGGAAGTTTATACCACAATTTATATTATATTTAATTATTAAATATATATTCTATAAAAATTATGATTTTTTAAAAGATTAAAAGATTGTTAATGGAATTATATAGTATTAAGAATAGATTTAAATCAGTAGATAAATCATTAGTTTTTTTTTTTTTTTTTTTTTTTTTTTTTTTTGCGTGCGTGCGTGTGTGTGTTAAAAATAGCCATTTTTGTTTCAGGAGATAGAGAGCAAAACTGCAGGAGGCAGTACTGAAGATCATACATGGCCTCATTATAATCAGATGCAAGCTATAATGAAAGAGTTAACTGTGTATGAAAATCCATCAATATTAGCTACTGGTAATGATAATGAACCTGTGAAAATACAGTTTGCTGATTCATATGCAAATGATTCGCTTTCAAATGATGAAGAGATACTGGATTCTAGACCTACAAAACAAGACAGACAAGAACATTTAGATGAAAGGTTTATAAATGCTATTGAAGAAGGAAATCAGCAATTGAAAGCCATGCAAAAAACTTTAGAGAGACAAGGAGAAACATTTTTGCAACTTATGTCTCGAATTGTTGATATTATGGAGAATCAAAGTAATGATGACATGTCTATGTGATGTATAATGATGATAATAAATAGTTTATTATTTTTATTTCTGTGTCCTGAACCAAAATACATTTAAAAGTGTACTTTCTTTGTTATGTATCATAATTAATAATCAAGCATTTTTATAGTTAATATTTAATTAAGGCTTAATTATAGTTAATATTTAACTAAGAGCTGATTTAATTAAAAGTATTTTATTAATTAAATATGTGCATTCAAAAACTTTATTGCTTATTTTCAGTAACACCAGAAAATAAGTTTCTATGTATAAATGGAAGGTCCCCCTCCCCATTTGGTGAGTAATTGGCATAAATTATTTATGCTTATCCCATTCCTTAGCTGCTGCACTAAGAAATATCTTATTTTAGGATTTCTTCCTTAATATTACAAATGTGCTTATAAAAATATCATTATTATTTAGCACTGAATGTGTACAATTTAGCCATGTATAGTAAGGTGGAAGGAAACATGATTTGAAAAAAAGTTATCAGAAAAACAGAATTAAAAAAAAAATGAATCAGATTTTTAAAAAAACTTTTTTTCTGCCTTAATTTATTAAATGGTTGCCACGAATTGAAGGCTTTGAATGTAATTAAACCTCTAATTAGATGATACTAGAAGCATAATGCTCTTTTTTAAATGTAAATTAATATAATAATTAGGTATACTATAAGTTAATAATTGTATTAATTAGTAGCATAAGCTATAAAATATCTTGACAACATTTTGGCATCAGTAATTTGCAAATAATAAATTACTTAAATATAAACTTGCATGTGCATATATACCAGGAATGGCCAAACTTCGAGACGATGTGAGCCGAATGATAGGTTTTTATGAACTTTCAAAAGGCGCATGTCCAAATTTATATCATTTAAAAAATAATGAGATATGTTTTGAATATAAAGAAACTTTTGAAGTAAATTAATGAATATGTGATTAACATTATTACTTATAAATATGAATACATCTTATATATACTGTTTTGTGTTCAGAAAAGGTAAGTCCCAGGAAAATAAAAATTTGTAACTCTTGTACTGCGCAATTGAGCGATTCGCCCCCTTCAGGTTAAAAAAAAAACAAATATTTTCTTCTGATTTCCTTTATACCATTCCTTTTAAAATTATTGTTGTTTTATTTTAGTAGAAGAAAATCAATCTTAAGGCCCGTCCACACGAGTACGCTCGAAACGTAGCTGACGAACACGCTTTTACGTTGCCAGCATAAAAGCGTCCAAACGAGTACGCTTGCGAAGAGTGCGTTTAACCAATAGAAATATTTTACGCAAAAATCACGTGACGCTGTAATATAGCACCAACAGAGCTGTATCTTATTACTTCACTGTGCTTCTGTATGGTTGCGGCAAGTTGTCCGAATCAGATGATTTTTTTTTTTTATAGCTGAAACTTTACTATTAAGTGCAATTATTAAGCAGAGGCAAAAGCGCAAAAAAAATGGCAAGAATGGGTCCGAAAGATTTATTTAGAGCAACCTGTTCAAAGAGTTTTTTTTTCTTTTTTCTTTTTTCTTTTTTTTTTTCCCTGCTTCGTTTGCAAAATGAATATCCGGAATTATTAAATTCCTACTATTAGCTCACACTCTCCCCATATCTTGTTCAAATTTTCAGTACATAAAATGCTTTTTATTCATCCACTCAAGTTCAAATACAATTTTTTAAATTTGTAGTGAATGACACTTGATGTTAATACAGCTTTTTCACATATTAAAATTTTTAATTAAAAAAAATTCTTTTTGTATTTTTATTTATTTATTTGTATTTTTTTAATTTTTCTTTGTGGACCTAAGTAGGAATTGACTTTTTTGTTTTGTTTATTACTTGTTTTTTAATTACTTCAGGATGAGTATCGACCAGTTTGACAGAGTTGCAGATTCTATATTGTATGAAAATTAGGATTTATAAAATAGGTTTGGAATACAGTATATAAAGAGAATTAAATTACTTAATTCTCTTTATATATACCATCCACCATGTAATTAAACCAACTTCCTATTTTTTTAACCCCCACCTCCCTTGGTCTTTTGTTTATCTTTTTATTTGTTTTTGGATTTAGAATGAGGTTCAAACTTTGGATAGTTTATGAGAAATTATGTGCATGATAAAATAATGCAATAAAGTAAAAATAAAGAGAGAATTTATAGATGTTATATGATAAAGAGATGCAGATATATTATTACATAAGGATTTCTATTTGCATTGCACATTTTTAAACTAAATTAAAAACAATAACAATAATATATAAAATAAAAAATGAAAACAATAATAATAGGTAAAATAAGAATATAATGATTCATGATTAAATATAAGAAACACGTTTCAAAATGAGAAAAACGAACTGAATTATATACAGTCTACGGGTGACGTTCGAACTCGCTACCTTTCCATTTGCAAAGCAGTGCGCTGACCACTCAGCTATCTGTGACAGCAGTGTTTGTGAAAAATAGTGTAACAAGTAGAAGTTGCTGCAAAGGTAATTTAATTAAACTTCAATAAATGATTGCTGTATGACACAAGTTGTAACTTTCCTCCAAAATTTCGTAATTGTATTTTATTGAATACTCTTTCACAGTCAACTGCTTTATTTTAGAAGTTGTTATATTGCTGAAGTTAGTTTTTGGTGTATTTAATATTGGGATATTTATAAGAGCTTTTTTATTACACATGATATAGCCAATATTTATAATAATTAAGGAGAATTTTGTAAGGCAGAAACTTTGATTTCGTAGAAACTGTAATTTATTTAGGTTCCTATTACTTACGGTGTTATATGAAGGTGAAGCATATGGATATACTGGTTGGATCATTGCTTTATAAATATACAGTTTTCCCCTTTAATGAGAATTTTAAATTTATACCAATATATACGGTTTGAGAAATCTGAAGATGGCGTGAACAATGCTGATTATTTTATTGCTGTATACAGTTATGATATTTCTAAGCAAAAACTCACCTCTGTGTGGTTCTGACACCATATTGAAACAGGTAAGCAAGAAGGTTTACTGATTATGACACGTGATAAGATTCTTTCATGAGAGCGATTGATTTTCATCACTTAAGTATGGACATTGGTTCAACTGCCAGTTTTTTACATAAAGGTAAAATGCAAATTCTAAATTTCAGTGTAATGCAAAAACCGTGTCTGTTTATTTTTCTTTGGCTGGTTCCAGTGCGTTTCTAATAAGGCTTCAACTTTATATTTTGATGACAAAAATCTGTGCTAAAAATGTTTTGATGACATATTTTAAATAATTTTATGCATGCTTTATTAAGATTTTTTAGCTTTTTTTTTTTAGATCTTTCCAAACTTAATGCTGTAGTTATCTTTCAGAACTTATTTTCTGTGAAATGTGCAACTGATTAATAAGAGTGTCTAAGTATAATTAAAATAAGTGACTGAAATTGATTTAAAATGGTGTAATATACCTTCTACATTTTGTTTTTAAGTGCCATGTTAAGAGGTTTTGACTGAAAATTTATGCCTAATGCATCTTGATAATCTTTGAGAGTTTGCATATAAAGTGACCAGTTCTTTGTATAGCTTTCAAGGGAGTCACATGCTAAATTACAATATTTCAAATGGTTCCATTGTATTAAATTTACCTCAAGTAAGGCGTTTTTTTGGGGGGGGGGGGGGGGGGGGGGGGAACATTTATTGTTGAATAACCTGCTCAGTAACATTTGTTATGGTGAAATGTTTGGCCAATAATTAATTACAGAGTATAGTTACACATTTTTAGAATGATTTTTGGGTCATTTAACTAATGTTTAAAATGTAAAGAATATTTTTTAAAATGTTCGATCTGACAGCTTTTTTTTTTTTTTTTTCTGTGTCATAATTTCCATGATAGAAAGGCTTTTTGTAAAATTTCAAGGAGTACAGATTTCCATTCCTCTTCCACTACTGCCCAGAGTCCATCAATAATAGTGGTTTTGCACTTAGAGCTTTTTTTCAAAAGACCAAAAGTGCAGTAGTTCGTAGGTGAATTGTTAGCTAACTTGGCAGGAAAAGTATATACACAATATCTGTATCACTCTTCTTTTTATAAAAAAACTTAAGTGGTACTTTACGAAGTGTAACATTGAAATAACATTAAGTGCTTGTTTACATTAAAAATAGTACTTATCTTTTTCAGGTATTTGTTTGATGTTGTCTTTCTATGCAGATGTAATGGCTGATGGTTTTCCCTTTCTGATTCATAATGTTGCTTATTTTGTATTAGAAATTTTAATACCATGCATTTCACAACCTTGTTTTTGAATTATGGAACAGGAATATTTCTCTTTGGAAAGTGTAAAAACATATTCTTCAATCCACAGCTTGTTTACATGCAACATTTTGAAAGAATGAATTTAATTAAAAGTAGCAATTTTTTTTTAAATTTCAAATAATAAGCTGTTGCCAAAACTTTTTATTGCAAAACATTTGCTTTTTTTTTATGTATTATTTTTCATCGAAATTGTTCTAAAAATGTATAAACACCTTCTGTATATGTGGCTGAACTGAACAATCATAAGATATTAGATGAAAATTGGTTTCAAATTAATTTCTTATTTTTGTCATTTTTGTTACATTATAAGGTATTTCTCCTGCTTTCTTAGCATGCCTTCGGGGTGTAGTGGTCAGCACACTCGGCGTGTATTTGAGAGGTCAGTGGTTTGAGTCCCGTCAAGAGCATTGCACATTTTTCATGTTTCGTGCTTCGAAATAACCTAATGTCTCTACAGTGACGCCCGAACCAAAACGCAGTGGATGATGATTCTCTACCACCAGAACTTGGCGATTGGGTCCCCTAATTCCCAGTCGGCCTTTAAAAGGAGGAGGAGTATGTATGTAAGTATTTCTCCTGCCTTCTTAGAATGCCTTTGTTGTCAGCAAACACGGTGCATATTCGAGAGGTACGTGTTTAGAGTACCGGCGAGGCCATTGCATGGATATCTGTGGATCCTAAATTCTGTTGCCTAGTGTCTTTCTAAATTCTTCCAATGCCTGCTCTAAATTCAAAAAGTTTTGCTATTTCTAGATTTCG